ATGAACAAACAAAAATAATGTTACTTTCAGTTTGTTAGCATGCTGACAGCATAAAAGCAAGCAAGAACTTGAATCACAATTAGATATTCATTTTACAGTATAATTGTAATAGATATATCATATTACAATATAGCATTTTAACATACCTATGCTAAGAACAGTTCAAGATTATTACACTCCGTATATTTAATTTTTTTTTAGATGGAAAATATGGCATTCTATCATTCAATCAATAAAGTCATAGCAGGTGAGGATCATGTTAACTTCATCTATCAATATGTAAAGGATAGCGATGGCATTGTTAACGAGTATAACTATAGGAATACTGGCAGTATATCGAAAACCCATAAATGGATAATTGGACCACCTACCAATTTTCCTAATTATGGAGATTCTTTAAGAACATTTGTCATGGTATGTATATTATTCCTTGATATCTGTTATTGCTTTGTAAAGAGTAATCATAATCTATAATTTTATACTAGAATATTTTCTTGATCTTTTAATATAGAGGACTCATGGTTTCGACATCTCGACATCTCCATGGCAGAAACCTATACCAAACACATGTTCTCTTTTTACAGACAAACAAAATGACAGTGTCATGTATTGTAATTATATTGGTATGTAACATTTAAAATTAATAGATAAATAAGATATTGTTAAAGAAGATACATTTATGTTTAGGAAAAATTATAATTAATTTTCTATTTTAAAGATCTCGAGTTTCATGAAGCCGTATATCCAGTCAGAGTCTCTATATATGAAGTATATAATCCTGGGTATGTAACAAAAATTTGGGCTCAAGGTAAACAACAGTATCCAGATGACATAACTCTCACTAAGAAGAAGCAGTGGGAGAACAACCAATGGTTTCTATTATGGAGTGGACCACCTCAGAATGCAGTTCCTTTGACATCGCGGATATTTTCGCCGCCTTTAAAGTTCTGTGACTTCAAAACCAAAATACTCAGACTACAATTTATGTACAGCCACTGGGACTATTCCACACGCCTAGATGCTGTGAAGCTAATTGGCACGTCAAAATTAGTCCTACCTAAAAATCCTAAACTGAATTTGACTAATTTGTTAAAAAGTATTAACTGCAAGTATTCTTGCCATGGGGACAAGCATAATTTAACACCTGATCATGAAGCTGCACACTTGGATATAGTTCAGCTGCAAAAAAAGTTCTCTAAATATTGCGTTATTTGTAAAAGGTATAATAATCATCGTAATATGTAATCTTTAATATTCTCTTAATAATAAAAGTAAATTTAAAAAATAAATTTTTTCAATATGTTGTTTGCAGCAATACAGCAAGCAGTTTTAACACGAGAAAGTTCGGGCGCAAGCAAATATCGCAAGAAATAGATGTAGCACGTTCTAAGCAAAGATATAGAAATCCATTTATTAAGAGAGGCATTTATAGGAACTATTTATTACGACATCATCCAAATTATGCAAAGTTAATAAAAGATATCGAACTCTATTCGAATGAATATAAAGAACAATCATGTAGCAGTTTTTCTACGCTTCCCGTAAGTATTTGAAGAAATCTATTTCTTGTAAGTCTTACCACAATATTTATTACAATATAATGTCATGTATTAATTTCTTTTATCTTTGCAGGATGAAATAGTACTAATAATATTTAAAAATTTAGATATAAGGTCGTTGTGCCGTATGAGCCAAGTAAATAAACGCTTCAATAATTTAACACGGGATCCTCTTCTCATTAAATGCTTAAATTTACGAAATTTGCGGAATACGAAATCTTTTAGTAATCACAATGTTTTATTTTACTTTACATTTACATGTAAATATTTACAACGGTTAGATCTGAAACAAACCAACATTTCTGTTGAGCATTTCAACAAATTTGTCAACAATTGCGGCAATTTAACGCACTTACGATTAAGTGGCTGCGGATTTCTTGTCGACTCGGTTCTATTAAGAATTTCGATAACATGTAAAATGTTGAAAGGTATGAACATAAATAAATATAATATTTAAGATTACAGGTAAATTGTGTATGACTAATATACACACATATTATATATTTATTTTTTTTTTTTAGTATTGGATGTCAGTTTTTGTAATGATCAACAATATGATTCATACAATCGACAATACAAACCATTAGAATTTTCGTGTCTCGAAAATCTAGAATTTCTAGAGGATTTAAACCTTAGAGAGATGTCTATAGAAACTGAAACTCTTTGCAAAATATTGCAAAAAAATCGCCGGATGCGTAACTTAAATTTGAGCACATGTTGCGACCCATCAACGTCTTACAAAGATCGAGATGCAGTTGCAATACAATTGGGAAATTCGTGTCCAGATTTGGAAATAATAGATTTAGCGGGCTGTGGTATTACCTCGCGAGGTATTAAGGCCCTCGCTGAATGCAAGAATTTACGAAAACTGAACATTTCATATACGTACGTGTGTGTTACATTTTCTTTTAAATATATTATTATATTTTTTATCAAAATTTGCATGTTTACATCTCTTGCAAACATCATGAAACGTTGTTGTTTTTCCCTTTACGGAAACTATAATAATAGTATGACTTTTGTTACAGTAATTATTTTGGCGGAACCGATCAGGTTAGTTTACGTAGATTGTTTTCCTCTTGTCAACTCCTGGAAAAAGTCAATTTGTTGAATCTTAAGGGCAACTTCGGCGAACCACTGACGCTGTGTAAAAATTTAAAACAAATACTTTTGGATGTACCTATCGAGAACGCCGACAGTTTCGCAATTTTCGAGCAATGTCCTAAATTGCAAACGATCTATCTTCAATATGAGAGGTATAATACGACCAATGGCCATTTGGTGGCCCTGAAAGAAAAATACCCACATTTGTCCATCTATGAATATAGCCGCACGAGTTACGAAATGAGCGCGACCTATGGATATTCCGGCGGGGACCTAACTAATATAAATATGAATAGATTCTCATAAATTCTCTTGATTCTTTATTTTCATTTATAGGTAAAAATTTTAAATAAATAAAAAGAAAGATAAAAGGTAGAAAATGATCTCAAAGAAGTTGCTGTGTTCATGTATTATTGAAAGAAAAAAATATATTTTTTAATTTTAAGCACACTTTATTCAAATCTATATGTTTTAGTATATAATAAATATAATGTAAAGAGTTATGTCAAATATCAAATAAAGATACGTAACGTAATAACGCATTTTTTATATGCAATAAAATATAATTAAATTGTAGTTTGCACATTTCACATTTTGCCGTCGAGAAATACATACGTCGAACGCTTAATTGGACATTCTTCAATTATATTTAATAATAAAAAAAAATTTTATTTGGCGCAAATTTTTGATTGAACAAGGAGTAGCCACCATGTTGCGACTGCAGTCCATTTGGCGCTAAAACTTTGTGGCTGAATATCGTTCATTTTTTCTCCTTTTCTATTTAATTTTTAATGATATATTTGTTCTGAGTGCAGGATTATAGCAGTGCAGCTATAAAAAATCTATTATCGCATGTCATTTATTATATTATACAGGCTGCGGTTCACTTGACGCTACAAATGCTTTGGAGCGTTCTTCTTCTCCTTCTTTTTTCATTGAGAGAAAAGAGAAGAGGAATGTTTCGAAGCATTTGTAGCGTCAACTGCGTCAAGTGGACCGCAGTCACAGGTATTATATGTTATATAATACAATAAGCATCTGTGTTCATTATTAAAGCCTGATCTACAATGTGCTCTTTGCTTTCTGTTTTTTGCTCTTAACCTCTTTGCGACTATCTCGTATTTCGCAATTCCGTCGCGTAACGTGATGTTTCTTGTCTCTTCTAAAGTTCGTCAATTTTTATCTTAGGCGACAGAGAACAAAAAACATCGCGTTACGCGACGCAATTGCGAAATACGGGATAGTCGCAAACAGGTTAAGAGCAAAAAACAGGAAGCAAAGAGCACATTGTAGATCAGCCTTAAGGGTCGGCAGGAGTCACGGTGGAGACTTCTGCGGGTTGGGTTAGCTGCGAGTGGCTGCGAGTTCGTATTTTATTTATTACAAATTTTTAAAAGCAATAATGCAAAATCGAGCTCTGTAGCTGACTGCATTATTATATAAAGAGTATATAAAAAAAATTCACGAATCTATGTAACTTATTTTATGAGAAATCCTGTTATTACGAATTACGGATTTGTACGACTCTCTCTCTCTCTCTCTCTCTCTCTCTCTCTCTCTCTCTCTCTCTCTGTTGCTCTTTCTAATCTCCTCCACAACCTTAACTTAATCTCCAAAGATGCAAACGCTATTTTCGACTATGCAAATGTCAATGGTTTGAAACTGAACCCTGCAAAATCCAAAGTCATTATTTTTGGCAGTGGAATAAATATCAACAATATTGATCTGAATGCATTACCACCTATTATTGTTAACCACACGCCTTTGCCATATGTAAGTGAGGTGAGAAACCTTGGAGTTTGTTTCGAATCGAATCTCTCTTGGAATAAGCATGTCTCGCATGTCTCGCAGAGAGTTCATCATGCGTTGTATAAATTGAAATTCAGTAAGAATTCTCTTTCCACCGAACTTAGAATCAAGCTGGTAACATCTCTGGTACTACCCCACTTGGACTACTGCTGCCTTGTCTATCGCATGGCTTGAGCAAGGAACTTAATCTGAAGTTACAGAGACTTGTAAACTGCTGTGTCAGATTTATCTTTAATTTGCGAAAAGATGAGCATATAACGCAATATCGACGACGCCTAGGGTGGTTGTCCGTAGAAAATAGAAGATTGTATTTTCTTGGCTGCCAAATGTATCGTATCATCTACATGGGCTCGCCAGCATATCTGAGTGAACTTTTTACCCCACTTAGCCCATCGCTCAGAAGATCCACTCGAATTGCAAATTGTTCTTCGCAAACCTTCCATATCCCAGCTTTCCGAACGGAAATATATAGAAATTCCTTTCTGATATCGGCCATCTATTTTTGGCACTCTCTCCCGGACAATATTACATCAGCAACTACTATTGCAGCTTTTAAGAATCTCCTCCGATCCTACCTGCTGTCATTTGAATTCTCAGACTAAGTTCCTTGATATTTTAGCGTGTAGTTGTGTATAGAGTACTCGTAGTATTCTCTTCTCCTAGTATTACCTGCGTTCGATTTAGTTGCATTGTGTTTCTTTATTTTGTTTGCTTGTAGATTATGTGCTTTTCTAGTATTAAGTTGCGTTTAAATTTAAGTTGCGCGTGTCACTGTATTTTTATTTTTATTTTTTATATTTTGTATATTACTATATTTTGCTATCTTTGCCCTTTAGCTATGCTTGGGCATAAATATACTTATCAATCAATCAATCAATCAAATCTCTCTCTCTCTCTCTCTTTCTCTCTCTCCCTCCCTCTCCCTCTCTTTCTCTTTCTCCCTCTTTCTCTCCCTTTTTCTCTCCCTCTCTCTTTCCCTCTCTCTCTCTCTCTCTCTCTCTCTCTCTCTCTCGTATCTTTAATAAGTTTTGACTTAACTTCAGTCATCCTTACACATATATTTATTTATAATAAATTAAAAACAAACAAATTACAATAATTAGCAAATTATATAATTGTCTAATATTACAACCTAATACATTTTGCTAATAATTTTAGAAGTAAATAATTTAATTTTATATGTATAACGAATAATTGCTCCTCTAGAAATGTAATGCAACAACAAATTAAATATTATTTCTAAAAAAATTGTATAATATTGTTAAACATTGTCATAAAATAATTCGGATGTAACTTTCTCGAAGAGGATTTATGGCTACAAAGCATGCAAGCTTGATTTTTATTTGTCACGCGTATATATTCTACTGTACATACAATCTCGTTATTAATAGAGAAAACTACATTTATACGTTAATTAACGCGATAGCTTTCGGACTTCCGTTCATCAAATATGATTTCGCTCTATTGGTATTCAAGATTGAAAGCAACGGTGTTAATTAGAAAGGATTACTTTGTCGTATCTTTATGTTCTGCGGTGGATGCCACTGTCACGACACGTTCTTGTTACCAACCCAGAAATTAATGGTTATACCATGAGTATACCGCAAATTATCTACCTAAAACAGAGTTTTGGTAATTTACTTTGCGCATTCCGAAGTTGGTGAACGTCAGGAAGATCGAGCTCGGGATCACTCTCGTCGTCTATCGTGTTATATCCTGCAGATAGATGCAGTTGGCATTTGCACGTGCAAACGTGCACCTGAATACAGCGAATAGCTAGAGTCAACGTAATGAGGAGAAGGGAGAAAGTAGTGTCGGTATATAAAGAGTTGGCCGTGACTTTGAAAGCATCGTAGTTTGTTGCGCGTTCCACGGACGGGTATATCGCAGAACCAATTGTCTCGGCAGTGTCTTCGTCGCGCGATTTCGCAAATCATGAAGCTTTTTGTGAGTACTTTTTCCGTTAATCAGATCAAATATATTGTGCATTTGACAACTTTAATCCTATGTATTGTTGCATTATATTTTTAGAGGAGCAATTATTTGTTATATATAAAATTAAATTTACCTTTAAAATTATTAACAGAAGATATTAATTTATAATATTAGACAATTATATAATTTAAATTATTTAATTGATTTACTAAAACTATATTTTAAATAAATCTTCTTCTATCTGGATATGTTTTTGTAGATATATTTTTTATACATCATATCATCATTTCTTGAAAATTATAACAACAGTCGAATATTTAATTTTAACTTAGTTTTCGTGCTGACCGATCATTAATTTTTTTGTAAGGGAAAGTGGAAAAACGAATCTCACTTTTCTCATGAAGAGCAATTAAGTCTGTAAACGAGACAAGGTTGCAATTAGTTGTTTCTTACGAAATTACTACACTCCGCATGACACCATTTCGAATATGGCTCGCCAAGAAGAAAAACGAGTGATTTGCGCGTTCAGCTAGATACAGCTATCTCGTGAAACTGTCCAGAAGAAGAGTTTACTATCGCGACTAGAAAGTTACGGATAGTCATCTCGGTGACATTCTACTTACTCGATGACTTTAATGACTCACTTACATTTTGTAGGTGCTTGCTACAATGGTGGCTGCGGTGTGGGCCTCTTACGAGGAGGAGCATGGAAGTAGTACCTATCACGAAACGTCCAAGCCGGTGGAAATACCAATCTACAAAAAATACGCGATACCAATTCCGCACCCGGTCGCCGTCCCGGTCCCTCAGCAAATTAAGATTCCGATACCTCAGCCCTATCAAGTCCAAGTCGCAGTTCCACATCCGGTGCCTGTGGAAGTTATTAAACACGTTGAAATACCTATAGAGAAGCCGGAACCATATGTTATAGAAAAAAAGGTTTGTACTTTAAAAAATATTTTTGTTGAAAGATAATAATTTCACATAAAATAAATAAAGAAAAACGTTAAAATATAGACGCAGAGTTTGCTTATTTAGAGTGTGACATAATTTTTACTAAGTGTGATATTATAAAATATATCACTGTCGTCTCAAAAATAAGATATTTATATACAAAATGTTAGATTTATCTTAAATATCAAAATATTAAAAGAGATCGCTAAACATTAAATATACTTTATGCTTTTGACAATATCATTAAATTTTGTAAATGTATTGCGTTGCAGGTACCATATGTCGTTGAAAAACCGTATCCAGTGACAGTGGAGAAGCACTTTCCAGTGCCAATACCTAAACCGTATCCAGTTCACGTGCCGGTGTACAAGCACGTTTTCCACCATAAGAGCTCAGGACACGGCCACCGCGGCTGGAAGAAGCATTGATTCATAAATTTCGACAATTTTCTTTAGTATTTTTATGCCAAAAATAGCGACAAGCGTTACACGAGCAATATTAGGTCGTAAGCGTTGTGATGTTTGTACATAGTTTGTTATCATAAATCTAACATTTATGTTTGTAATGTTTAAATAAACTGTTTCCTCTCGTACACGCATTGGCTGTCATTCTTTAAATGCCGACAGTTTAGACCAGGCTGCGTTTATCTTGACGCTTTCAGCGCTGAAAGCATCGCTCTATCTTCGTTTGATGTTTGATGTGCAACGAAGATAGAATGATGCTTACAGCGCTGAAAGCGTCAAGACGAACCCAGCCATAGTGTATTATATAGAAATAATATTATTTAAATATAGAATCTCATAGAAGAATTAATTACACCGTGGACATTTAATTTATACAATTATTAACTTCTATTTATATTCTTTGATAAAGTGAATTGAATTTTTTCATAATATCTAATAAACAAAATAATTATTTAAAAAAGTAACAATATTATGCACATATAAGCACATAAACATATATAATAAAAATATACATTTCATAAATTATTTAGAAAAATACTGTACAATATACATATGTACGTGGTTATAATAATACTTTTTTTATTAAGTCTCCCTTGTATATCAATTTTCTTAAAAATTCCATAATCTTCGAAATTTTAGCGCTCCCGGCAACGTGGGGTTGCATTGCACCCAATAAATACTTCAGGCGTGCAACCTGATTTTTTGCCGAAACGAGAAATGCATCCGTAATTATTATAAATTATATACGTCACTGTTTCCCCACGGGCGGCACTTCGGGCGATATTTCGCTATACTCGTGTCCGGGTTGTGTGGCAGATTGTCGTGTCCACCGCGTGGATAAACGACGACGAATAATGTCAACAACGCAATGTGTCGTCATGCCCGCGAGGTGGTCACTCACTCACGTCGTCGCAGAATTTATTCAGGAAATACCGGGGCGCGTATACGATTGCATCATGTATCTGGCGACCGCTTTTTACGCCGCTTAAGGGAATCGCATTCGCCTTCAACAAGAAACTTGCCCTCTCTAAGTGGAGCAAAAGTTTATAAAACCGACGACTGCGAGCGACGCGCTTCTAGTTTGGTCCAGATCTCCTGATCCATTGGTCGCGAGTCAGCGGAAACAGAAGAAAAATCATGTTTAGGCTACTGGTAAGCGTTGCTCTAGGTGGATTTAAAATTGCTGAAGCTCTGTTCATTTTATGTGTTTCAATGTTGATTATAAATTAGAAATATAGATTGCGAACCTTCAAGAAGCTCAACTCAATATGCCTATAGATGGCATTTAATATATTAATTATCAAATAAAACACTTATAATTAGCGAATATATAATATAATACTTGCAAACGCATCTTATTCTTTACAAGATAAAAAAAATTTTTTTTTAAGTACATTTCCAATACATTAAATATTTTACACAATCCATGCTTGGTTTTGTATAATCAATCTTTCAGCAAATTCTTATGTCATTCGTAATAATCTGGCGCGCTGAATAATCCACCTTGTACGATCTAATTCCTAGATACCGTGCCTGTTATGGCTGTCAACGGTGCGCTCGGAGGCCGGGATGCACATGGGCATGCCGGCCGAGCCGCTGATGGACAAGATGTCAGACGCCTCGATGCTGAAGGCAAAGAGAGATTCCATCCACCAACCTTGCGAGCCGCTCTACCCGCACGTTCACGGCGCTTACTCCCCGCCGCCGGTCTACGTTAAACCCCTGATCCAACCGGCCTACTTGAAGAAAGAGTTGGGCATAGCGCAACCCTTTGCACCAGCTCATTTGCAGTACGTTCAACAGCCGCACGCCTATCCCGCCGTGGTGCCGAAACCGGCCATCACGTACGTGAAGCCGGTGACGCCTGCGATAAACTATCACGCGGCGCAGCATCATCAGTCGTTGCAGTACATCAAGCCCGTGATGCCCATCTACCAGAGTCCTATTATGCCGTCCTACGCGCCGATCTATCAGAAGCCGCTGCACTACGCGCCCATGTACCAGAGCCCCTTGTACCAGAGCCCCTTGTACCACGACGCGATGCCGAAGATATTCCTCAAGAAGTACGAGGCGCCTGTCGCCCAGATACTCTACCAGAAACCGCTGGTCCACGCGCCCGCCGTTCAATACGCGTCACCGAAGGTGGTGCACGTACAGGCGCCGCAGGTGTCCTACGTGAAACCTGTGGTCCACGCACCACCATCCGTGTACGGCCCGCCGCAGGTTCACAATTCCGTTATAGTCAAGCCTTATGCAGAGCCTCATTGTGCGTAGATCGCTTGGTCGCCCGCGATGTTGATATGTCGAGCTCCGCAGAATGAGAAAATCTCTAAAAATGCGCTGAAGATTAAACGATCGACTGGCGATTTCTTATGTCTTTCGTGGCGGCTTGTATCAACCTGCATTTTGTAAATTGAAAATATAAAGCGGATTAAATGCAACGGAAAATTGTAAATTATAAGCTTGTATGTAAAATTATATATCGGAGTAACGCATTTTGTTCGTATACGAATCATGAGATGTCACGAGCTATCAAAATAGAAGAAAGCGAATTGTCAGAACTGGCACAAATCTGATCTGGAAAGTGTATGATAGAATTATTATTTTTTTGTTTTTTTCATTTCTTTTTGTTAATTCTTTCTTAAATTTTATTTTTATTTTTTCTTGACGCCTCAATCTGACACAGACTTTTAGTTTGTAATAAAAACAAAATTTACGCTGAGCGTAAATATATAATTTATAATTTAAAGAATAAAAATAATTGCGTGTTTAATATTAGTTAATATTATTATAATGCATAATTTATTATATAAAATGCGAGAATACATTATAAATTGTAAAAAAATCACATGACGCCAGCGATGATAATTTTTTCTTTCTTATACGACGTAGAAAAGATCCTTATAATTAAAAATAATAAATCCATCATAATATTATTTATAAAGATATTTTTGGGTACTTTTACGTTACCTTTTTTAATTGCGAACATGTAAAAACTTTTAAATAAACTAGTTGTAAGAAATTCTTATCTCTCCGGAATATTCTTGAATATTTTATAACACAAACAATATTTTCTAATAAATAATTTAATTATTATCTATTTCTTTCACTATAATATACTGGTAGAATTGTATTAGCTTTTAAATTAATTTTCAAGTTTATTGTATGTTATTTAATTATGCTTTACTCCTATTTCTATTCTTCCTACGCCTGTTGCAATACTCTAATTTTGGAAGTTATTTCAAAGCACTGTAATTTAAGTAAAAACTATAACGGATTAAAAAAGAAACTATTATATTATTGTGTGCCAATCTTGTCAAGGTAATCAAAGAAGCGGAAACGAAAAGTTATATAGAAATCTATAATCCGCATACAAAAGCATTGTATAATGTAATCATATAGTACTTTGATATAATTATTTTCTACTTTTCGTTTTTGTCTCTTTTAGAAAATTAAACATATTTTCAGCAGAATAAAAATAAGAGAGAAAAAAAGCATGTATGAAATTATTAAATTAAAGAAGATGTAAAGAAAATTACTTATACATATGTATTTTGCATTTTGTTTTGTTAATATACGCACATACACATTTATTTGATATCTTACTGAAAATTCTTCGTGTTCTATATAATTAGCTTCTGCTGTGAATATTATTAGAAGACAAACACACACGCACTTGTTAAATCGAAAATAGAGCGAAATAAGATATATATAAATAAGTTCTTTACTGAAGTGAGAGAGAGAATACTACCCGCATATTATGTTACACTATATTATACACTGAAAAAAAAAATTGTCTATTCCAAGAAATATTTAGTCCAATACGTTCAACTAAAACATTTTAGTTAGTTAACTAAACATTAGTTGAATTAATTAATTCTTGATTAAGGAAACGAAATAAATTGTTGAAACAACTAATATTTAGTTAACTAACTAAAATGTTTAGTTGAACGTATCGGACTAAATATTTCTTGGGATTAACAATTTTTTTTTCTCAGTGTACCTGTATTATGTTATACTCTGATGTATAATTTACAATAACAGTGTATGATATTATTCTGTCAATATAAAGCTAAAAAATAAGTGAGTGTTAACATCATAGAGAAAATGCTTTAAAATAGCAAGAAAGCGTATATTTCATTGCTTTAACCGATATTTACGTGAATAATTGTTTTTCTTCTTAATTCATCTTTATTAAAAAAATAGATATCGTGTTTCAAAACATACATCTTTAATTATTCTGAATACTCTGATACGCTCTTGATAAGATTTAAGTAAAGATTATAAACGTCGAACACGACCTTAGTGCCGAAACTTTCCAACCGTGAAATATCGCTACTCTTTCAAACTTTCATCTAGAGAAGCAATTATGCATAGAAATTTCATAACCGTACAATTACGTTACGAAGTTGCGGACATCTTCCGCTTATCTAGATTGCGTCTCTCTCGAAATATCTCAATTCTTCAAGCCACGAAATCCCACTATCACGAAACTTCTTCGTTCGTTCTCAGGAATTGAATCGCATCATTAAGTGTTACAAACCATAATTACAGAGCTTAGATCATAATTATAAAATACAAATATACAATTATATGTAGGATATTTTTAATTTCAGTTAACGAAGCATTTAATTATCAGTGTCCAAGGATCCTATTTTCAAGCGATCACTAAAAATTTGCACGAAAGAAGAAACGGGACTGCTTGTACGGCAGTTGCATTTCCGCTGTGGATCGCCGCGGCCGGAGGACCTTTCTTCTCGTTTCGTCGCGCCAGAAATCGATTGCGTAAAATCGAGACCTACTCGGGCTGGAATTAATAGCGGGCTGCTCGCACCGGTGAGCTTTCCACCTACCTATTCTCGACGATTTCGAAGAATCGCGCGATTTCGTCACTCACTTACGTGCAACACCGCGCTCGGTCGCGGTTGCATAACTCGGCAATGAAACGACGAACTATCTCGACGTTTTGAAATGGCCTACACATGCACGTTCGCGGGCGTAACCGGCCGGTTTTTCTCATATCCATCGCAACAAGCGCGCTACGAGTCGCGCGTCCACGCGAATATCCACGCCATGAAGCACGAATTGTGAACATCCGCCCATGGTGCATAATATTCACATAAAACTTGCGCAACGTTGCGCGGCCACCGTTGTATAAAATAGCCGTCCATGGGAAGATGCTTTCAGTAGAGTCGACTGGAGCCGTCCCCGACAAGTGAATTCATTATGTTTAACTATGTAAGCGTGAACGTTAAAGAGACTTGAAGAACTTATTCAAGAAACAGTGGGAGCGCAATTATATATAAAGAAAGGACTTAATTTTATAATGTCTTTTCATTCATCGTCCAATTGTGTGCATAAAAAAAAATTATATATAATTTGCCTTGCTTGTTTATATTGCGCGAGAATTTTATCGCGATGAATAATCGGAAAAATCGACTAATTAAGTCTTAAAATGTTAATACTTTTTTATGTAAATTTCTTTGAAAATTATTGTTTATAAAATTGTGTGTTAATATTAATATTCAACGTCTTGTCTCGAAAGATCGTGCGAATTGAGACACATCGGTGTATACATCGACGAAATTAATATAAAAAATTAAAACACTTACATATTCCTTTTCACAGTGTGTTTTAAATTTATACTGTGTTCCAGTTGTTCCTCTCTCTATTGGTAGTCGCCGTTTGCGAGGCGGGTATAATAACGAACGTGGATCACTCGCATCACGGGGTTTATCACGGCTATGGCGCTACCAGTTATCAAAATGTGCAGCTTGACAATCACGATGCTATAGTGGTGCCCGCGAATTACGGAGATCCTGCGGAGCTTCACGAGACTTTGGGGCACCATCACGAGCGAATCATTCCAATCGTGGAGTCTCACAATGACATAGAACACATCGTGCCCCATTCCGGTAAATCGAAACGTGAACTTGAAATAAATCAATCACACTCATCACAATCAATCAAAAAATATTGATTATATTTTACACAAATGTAATTTTTGTAATGAGTTAAAAATGCTTGAGGAAAAAAGTATATAACTCGTGATTTGAATTAAAAATGTTATTAATTTAGAGATAGTATATTTTTTCAGAGATTAATAATTTTTTTATTTGTAATATTATTTTGAAATAACCAATACACATGCCATTTGCATTTCGTACACGTTGACAAATAGAGACTTTATTCAATTATTTGTTTCAGCTGCATATGAAGAATTTACTGTCGCTGACATTAAATCTGACATACACAAATCTGACATACTCGAGCATTATTTTGATCACGACCATTATGAAACATTATGATCTTCATCATATAAAAATAACTTTAGAAACCATTGTATTTGAATAATTAAAATGCAATCTTTATTTATAGACAATTAATTCAAAATTAATTGAAAATTTCTTAAGCTCAAGTTAGATTGCCTAAAAGAAAATAAATTAATATGCGTTTTGTAGATAATACTCTTTTGATATTTATTGTAGCATAATTCTTACCGCATCGTAGTCTTTATCGGAATACAGTTATGCCGGCATTTGCGAAAACGATTATTACCCGCAATAAAAACGGAAATAATTGCGAAAGTGATTTGCGTAATATTTTTATTTATATCCAATATAGATATATATATATATATGTATAGGATGATATAATAATTTATGTAAATAACATTATGTTATATAATGAAAACAACAACGTGGTAATCATTATACTAGGCTCTCGTTTGAAGTTTTATTTACAATCCTATGTGACCATTCATGTAAGGGCCGTGTAAGAGGCGCTTCCTTCGATCTGTATAAATTACAGCCTTCAGCTCGAGATTCTCAAACGTTCTATAATACTCTAATCATTATCAGCAATCACGAGAATTTATCGGTTTAGGTCCGACCGTGAGAGCGTCTCTCAACTTAAGGTATGTATGGTCTAGGAATCATCACGGTAACAGAGAAAGTTCCTGTCGGCATTAGGCATTAATTCACGAATACAGACAGCAGTCTTCACGCACACGCACACGCACACGCACACGCACACGCACACACACACGCATACGCATATACGTTTTTTTTTTACTCTGATAGACTTCGACAATATAGCGTTAACAATCGAAAAATATTCACTTCGACAAATCGCGCGGTGCATTACACCGTTTTACATCGGCCACGACATCATGATATACGTTTTGTGTATAAGTATATATATTTAATACTTGACTAGATCACTTTAGTTGTATTGACTCCCTCGTTAGTCTAGGTACTCAGAGACTATGGAGACATAAAATGTCTGCTTATAAAAAAATACTTGGCTGAATGAATTAGAAACGTTAATGTAGTTGCTCATTTTTCTTTCTCACGATACGCGACATTTGTCGGCGGATACAATAACGACAGCTAATGAAATTTGATCCCAATTTCAAGTATAATTAACGACAGTAGTAAATTGTCTGAAAACAGTCCCTCCTTCGTAACGTGTTTCTCGCTGTGGAGAAAATTTTCAGAGAAACTTGGCTGGCACTCATCACACGTAGAATTCAGCCAGCATCTTAGCCGGCTCGTAGTCCATGTCTTCATTCTTGTACATATCCATGATCTGGAAAAGTTGTTTGTATGACTAAACTAATTATTTTGGGAACAATGGACTTGGTATTTAAAATGGTACTTAAATGGAGCAAAACTTATATTCAGATAAGTTAAATTTTTATGCCAATTATTTTATCTTTTTGTAATTTGATAATTTTATCTTTTTGATTTTATTTTTTTATAATTTAAGAAAATTTAGCTCTATGAGAAAAGAAAATTTCAATAATCTTATATACAGATTAATAAAATTATATTAAAAGCACATATACATATATTTCTTAGAATCTTTTTAAAATATTATTTATGCATCAGTTTATGTTATTTGATTTCAATTATATCTCCATTTAGATATAAATATGTATAAATCACAAACGTACAGATTTCAAATATTGATAATAATAAAAGTTTATAGCATCATTCGAAAGTTTTCTATTTCTTCATGTTTTATAATAGAATTTATAATAAACATACGATAAAACCATTGCGATTATTCCTGGCAGAGATTAATGTTTTTTTTCATCAGTTTTATTAACTTAAGCTAAAATTCTGAAAAAGGCTTTGCAAGTGATCACGGATGATTCGATATAGCGTTGAAAAACTCAGTTTTGTAAAATAATCTGATGTGCAAAAATAATCATCTTAGCAAATAATTGCTCAGAAAAATTATTCATATTAAAGCAATATATTAAATACAGGTAACTGATGGTAACATATATTTGATAGCGATTCGATGCAGTTTCTAAAGACTTTAATAAAATAAATAGAAAAACATCGTAAAACCATATAGATAAAAAATTCTAATTTCAGTTAATCACAAAATTTTAATATTTCAAATTTGTTGTATCTTGCTTATTTAGAATTAAGGAGACTTCATTGGTTACTGTGTTATAAAACATAAAATTTAACAAATAGTAGGAAAAATAAAATTAAAAATTAAAATATTTTAAGAAAATAAGTTTATTGAGAAAATATTAAATAAAATGTAATAATTATATAACAAAATAAGAACAAAACACAATAATCAAAATTTAATATTCAATAAATAGAATTCAACTTAATTATAAAACAGAAATGTACAATAAATTGGATGTTCTAGCAATTTTATCAAATCTATATATACCGCATCAATACGTATGTTATTCAAATAAATACATAAATATAAAAGACCTAAAATATTCTTAATTTTCTAGCAATTAACTTAATGGAATGTTAAAATGGACGTTTACGTATCAGATAGTATAAAACAAATTGCTTATGATTACAATCCATATATTAAACATATAAATATATTGTTTCTACGTGCAAGCGCAATAAAAATAGCAAAGCTATACTATCGGGTAAACCTTTAGTCTAGCGAGAGTCTGTTGCCTTACCGCGTTCATATCCTTCTGCAGCTCTTCCAATTGCTTCTCGTGGACCACCTTTAATTTCTCTTTCTCTCTGTTCTGTATCATCTGCGCAATCCTGCGCTCTTCCATAAACTTCTTCGTGTTGTTCTGCTGCTTCTCCCTGAGTCTACCCTCCTTGATTCCGCGCGTCTTCAAAGTCTTGTCGTTCATCACTTCCCTCGCGCTCTCCACCGACAGTCTCGCCTGTCGCGCGGTCATATCTTTCATCTCACGGTCGTGTCGCGCGGTCAGCTGTTTCTGTTGCGCCAGCTGCGCGGCCATGCACAATTTGCACAGCTGCGTCCGCCGCTCTTCCAGATGCCCGCGGACCAGATCGCGTTCCTCCCGGCGTTGCCTGTCGGCGAGATGCGACCACTGGGTCGTCTGTTCGGAAACGGCGCGACGAACGATGGGGTCTCTCGAAAGTTCCGCTTTGCTATAACATTTTTATCAATCTTGTAATTTATTCTATTATTATGTTAATTATATTAATCATCATTTTCTCAATTTATCCATGAACTCTCAATTCTACAAATTCTAAACTCTATCAGACCTGCGTGCACAAATGATCTTGCTTTATCCACTTTCTAAGAAAGTTTAACTTTTTTGAAAAAAAATTATATTTTAATTTTTTGTTTGTTTCAAACTTAGTTTGCTATTATTGTCTTAAAAGGATTATCTTACGCTATATTTTAAAATAAAGAAAACCTTTTCTATCTTTTCCTCGAGCTTTCTCTGAAATTCTGAAATATTTAAACCTAATACAATAAACATAAAATTTTTAGTCATAAAAACTTTTAAATAAAAATTTTCTTTTGTCAAAGAAAGCCCGCTAAAAATTGCTTACTTTTTACCAATCTAAATAAGAGAGAAAATCTCCTTAACTAATAGTAAAAGTTATTCAATTTACTAATTAAATAAATACTTTTACAAAAATTGATTAAACATATAAAAAAAATTAAAAATTTTTAATTAAAATTTTACGAAAATGACTAACTTTTTTCCCTTAAAAATCTTCTCTATTGCAACACAATGTTGCTTCTGGACAGTCAATTTCTCCTTGTGGTGCTTCTTTTTCAAAGACTCCAGTTCCTTTTGCTGTTTCCGTAATACTTTTTGATAACCCTTTTCTTGTCTCAAAGTCTCCAGAGTGATTGGATCGAACTTCATTTCTTCTGTAGAAATAAAATAAGTCGATTCGTTGTTCACAATTGACAAATTTCTATATCTTGCAACTTACCTCTTGGTTTTGCTGCTTCTTGGTGATGAGATAACACGTTATTTTTGTTGTCCACATTGTTTTTGCTATCACTCTCTTCGATTCCCAGACCTCGCATTTTATTTTGCGACATGCTTTCTGATTTCTTAAATGCTCGCGGCGCCGTTAAAGCGTCCATAAATTCTAAATAATGATAAAAAGATGATAAAAAAAACATTGATTAATCAATTAATTATTAATACATATTTTGTTTAGATTTTATTTTTGGTAGAAAAATGGTGTTTTGAATAAAAGATATACTTATTAACTAAATTATCGTATTAAACAGATCGAATAGAAACAAGATATACATAAAATAGTTAATTTTAACAGAATTAACAGAAAATAATGCTGACTAAAATTATACGATCTATTGAAATTATAATTGTACAACTGCAGAGTTAAATAGTAGTATAAATTTATTATGCAGAAACATCGTTGATGTCGAACATACCTTCAAAACCATCTGGCACATAGATTTTTATGTCAATGTTACAAAACAGCATAGGCAGAGACATAGGAAAATTGGCGTCGGTTCGCAACGCGATGTGCCGATATCCGGCCTGCAAACCGTCTAAAGGAACGATTCTCTGTCCTAGTAGCTTGCCGTTCGATTCATCGTATACCGCGAATCTCAGAGCGGCCAAATCTGGTAGGACGACTTTCCTGAAGAGAAAGGGCTCTTCATTGTAAACGGGGTTCAAACCGTTGGCGGGGACCACTCTCGTGCGAAATTCCTTGCGTATCGTGTCGGTAGGTAGGCCATACATTTCGACCTCAACGTACGTCCCGACTTTCTTGTCGGATAAAAACTGGCCTGCTATTACCTATTACAATGTTACGATAGTGAATCAATAATAAAGACAAATAGTGGAAGCGTTTTTAATCTTGCATAAACTTTTTTATAGTTCTCTTTCTTTGTATTTTATCTTATTTTCTGATTATTGATTATCCTAATACAAAGCACTGTTAATATATAAGAGCTACGCCATATTATGCAAATTGTTAGATTTTTTAGGAAGAAAAAAAAATGCAAAAAATTAGAATGTGATATCGCAAGTAACTTGGATTGTCATTCAGGAAAAAGAAACGTACCTGAACGCTGCATTGTGTGGCGATCACTCCATCAACGGGACTCTCGGCGAAAGGATCAAAGCTCCTATCAGAACGTCTCATGAAGTCCGGCTTCAATAAGTAGCCCGAAGATCCGTTGTACTCGAACTTTCCTTGATTCAGTTGCATAGGCAGATCCGCGGTTTGAAAGTTCAGCGACACCATTTGGCAGCCAGCGTTCCAGAAGACCTGTTTCGCGACGATCGATCATTGAGAGACTTTTCTTCGTGTTCCCCGTTGCGCAAATTGCGCAATACAAGCTTGTGTTTTACCTGCGGCATATAGTTGGAAGAGTCGGCTCGTGTACCTTTCGGATAAATCCGGCTCATCTGCCGTTTGTTATAATTTACGAATTCAATGGCGGAGGTTTTCAAATAGGTCAAGCCAGTCGTTTCCGAGAAGGAAGACATATTGTGATGAATGTTCCTTTCTAAAAATAATAATTCGTTCTCAATCGCAATTTATCGATTAACGCCATCAGTATAATTATAAATAAATTATAATTTTCTTTTAAAGAAACAAAAATTTCACCTACCTTCGGCTTCGTCGAAACTGGCGAACTTTACAGGTTGCGCATAGTTGACCATGGAAGACAGCCATGGATGTACATTGGTAGTACTTGGGATATAATTCTGAGCCGCTACTAATTCTATGCTTTCTCCAAAGCCTACTGAACCAGTGACAGATTGCTGTTGTTGAATGCCCGATGACGTTATGGATTCAGAACTTTCTTCCTGTAGACGAAGAGAAATATCACCGTTTTATCAAATGAAACGTCGATCGCTTAATTCGATTAAGATAAAGAGTCACTGCCATGCTCAATTTAAGGATCGTAATGATTGTTACTTTTACCGGTTGCCGTTCCACAGCGGCGGCGATCGCCGGCGGCGCACTGAAGTCTTCCTTGATTTCGTCCTCGATCACAAATTGACCTTGCTTGAAGAGCTCCAACTCCTGCTTCTCGACTTCGGGCTTTAGGCGCTTGTTCTTAATGATAATCTTGCGTTTCAACATACTGGGCGGCGGCAGCGGTACTCCTGGCTCCAACTGTTTTAATGATATTTTAGCCATGAGTGCACTTAAAACCACTTATATGAAAGAGTCACCAAACTCTGCGTAATTTATCGTAAGCGTGAGTTTAATTCAAGAAATTCTTTAGAAAGAAACAAAGGAAAAAAATTCACTTACATTTTAATATTATGTGTTTATATTATAAAAAATTTATTGTGATTATATATCTTAATAATAGTTAAAAAACATTATTAGAGTAGATAATCCATATTATTTAAATTAATATTACAAAATATTTTACAATATCTGTAAAAAATCTATACGCATAAGAACTTACAGGATATTCTTTCAGGGGTTCCTTTAACAACAGATCACCAAGAATTTCGTCACAGTACTTGGCCAGTTTGTATTGCTGCTTCTTGCTACAATGATTTTCGAAGCTGAGAATCAATGGATATTCCGATGTAACGAAGGCCGTGTCTCTGACTGCGTATATAACGTCTCTAAATAGAATGTCGGTGCACATGGCTTTGCCGTGGGTGATTATCGGCTCCTCATCTTCCCCTTTGCCGTCCCAACAATCCAATTCGACGCACCTTTAAATTCGAATTAAAAAAAGAAAGAAACTAAAACCGGTAATCCTGATAGTTATCGATTGTTTTCTATTTTCTTACGAGAAGTGATCCTTCGTTTCTTTATTTATTAATAATTATCTTGTTAATCTATAAATTAATTAAATTAAAATTAATCGAAATATCATGGGAACCTAATTAAATATAACTATTTAAAAAGTAACGATTGAAAAAAGTAAATATATTGCTAAACTATATAATTCCTAAAACTATGTTTTAATTTATTAGAAATAAGCTACACTGGTTTGTTATGCTTTTTGAAATAAAGATAGATCAGTATATCGATCTAAATGCAATATTATATTCAAGCAGATGCATTCAATCGATGGTACAATCGATGCAGCTATAAATGCAACGGATATTGAAAATCGCTGCAGTCGCAAATCGGGAATAATCATTACTTCCATATTTCATGTAACAATATCCCCTTACCTGCATCCTGCAAGTAAAACTTGTCTATACATTTCGACGCTGCTCTTCCCGCCGAATTGACGTCCGCTCAGGTATGTGTTGTGGCTCGAATTGATGTAATAATGCGCCAGAGGTTGGTCCATATCCATGTAAACGTCTAGTCTGTCGAGGAAAACTGGCGCGTTTTCGTCGGACATCAGGTACCTTATGAAGCCGTCCTTCGTCATCGTTTCTGCAAGGGCGCAATTACGTATGAAAGAAGGTCGTTTTGAAGCTACAAGTTAAGCCGGTTCATTAATTCTTCAGTCCTGACTAAACCCAGATGACACATAATCAATTGAACGATTCAATTTTGCAGGCTCATTAAAGTTTACTCTGTTTTTGATATCTTTGACATCTTAATATCCTAATTTATCTAGTTTATAAAGAGACAAATGAAATATCTACGAGAGAATCAATATCTCACATGTTTCAAAGACGCGAGCGATCAGGTTTAATTTTAGATAAGTTCGTGAGAATTGTTCGAGGGAAACGTTGCGAAAATACATGATTTGTTTATCAAGCTCTTACTTTCATTACGCGCAACCTCATTCTGCTCGTAATCATTGATGATCTCCATTGCACGTTTCTCGTCGTAGAGGGGGTAGAGAATTTCATTCAGGGTCGGATCTCTTTGCTTCTCGTTGAGAAAGGTGATCAGTTGCTCCAGGTTAATTGTATCGCCCTCCGTTCGCCCTTTGCCCTGCGTTCTAGAATTTTCAAGATAAATAATCGGTCACGTTAATTAACATAAAACCTTCTGCTTGCGTTACGTTAAAATAAATCCAAATTATAAAGTTTTGCAAAACATAAAACATATGTATTTGTATAAAAATGTGTATATATATACATACGCGTGTAAAATATATACAACAAATAATATTGATGTAATTAAAATTCGTAATTAGGAGTTCTCGTTAAGAGAATTTTTTTTCACCTAACGTAATTCTTTTAACGGTAATTAAAATTCGTAATTAGGAGAAGTAAACTCGTGAAGCAAATTTTTTTTTCTACACAGAAAATATCTATTTAGATACATTTTCTCCGAAAAGTACTCACATCGACTGAAATAATTCCTCTATGTCGTTCCTCGGGCATATTTTGTGATAAAGCGCGTAGAATGCGTCGAAGGTAAAGTCGTCGGGTTCTATCACGTCGTTCTAAATATTAAAAAATGTATTCTTATCTTTGCAATATTTTAGCAATAAAAATGTCGTAGATCATCAATGATACATTTTAACAACCATGCATCAAGATACCTTTCCGCTAGGTAGGCCTAACTCAGAGAGACACTGGTAAACAAGCTTCTCCGTTTTGCCGGACGCGAAAGTTCTCGCGACCACTTTCACTGGAACTTTTCCATTGGGGTCGACCAGCATCCTGAGTCGCATCCAACTAAAATTGTACAAAATGCTGCTTTATTCACGATTTTATTTACTTCTTCGAAAATATGTAGATAGAAGAGAACATTTGATATCAGAATTACGGTTTGATATAATATATATTTTTGTCAACTTTCAGAAGGTACTATACATTTAATTAAGTCTTTGATACCATAAAAGTCTTTGATATCATAAAATGTAATATAATCTTATTTAAAAAAAAAGTAAAAAAACATTCAAAAATATGTACAATTTAGAAAGAAAAATGATTTCGGAAGCTCTGTAATTTCTGCTGCGAGTTAAATTGATTTTGCTTAATATCCTTTTGCGTCGGAGTGAAATTAGAGAAACGCAAAGTTATGCTACATACGTCGATTGCGGAACAACGTTTATGGCTAATTATTTCACGAAGGTAAACAGCCCCGTTGTTTACAGACACGTTAGTGCAAGCGTATATAAATGCGTTGGCAAACTCACTGTTTCTTCAGACATGTAAGCGGGCAAACGTTATTCGCTTTGACGTTGTGCGTAATCGATCGAACGCCGTCCAACCATACCTATGACGACATATACGAATAAAGTATCATCAGATTGTTCTTTTTACGGAATGGGAGACTATTATTAAGTCCGTTGCGAGATAGAGATGTTAATCTTAAGGTGGCATTAAAGTAATCTTATCAGTTGTTACATCGCGATGTGACGCTACATTCGTTTATACCTACGTAGGTATGTACGAATGTAGCGTCACACAAGTTCTATTTATACTCGGGGATAAATAATTTTGCTACCTCAGCATTTTGACGCTATTGCATATTTCATATAAAAACGACTAAACTTTGCTGCTTTTAACGTCACTGATTTTTAGTAACATTAATGTTAAAAAGACACGTGAAGCTAATGAGCTTCGAGTAAAGAGCAATTAAGTAAATGATGCTGTTCGATAATATCTTAAACACATAGTAATTAAGCATATGTTTACAAATTGTTCCAATAATTGTCAATTTGTGTAATAACAATTTAGCATAGCCAGTATATAGAATACGTGAGAAGAAATTGATGGTAATGCGATATACAGAACCGTGTATAGCACATTCACGCTATTTCCTTATTTTTGCAGTAAAAACTAGCGATAAATTCTCTGGAAAAATGACACGGAAACAGGTAAAAGAGCTGTACGAGGCAAATTAACCGAGAAGTTCAGCATAATCGCGACTATGCGATTATACGTTTACAGGTTGTTTATATCACATCATATAATCGTCGTATATCGCAGGAGATATTAAGAAAAAGTATATTAACTATTATTGATAGCATATTCCAATCTAATACCGTTAATATAACAACACTATACTATTTATATCCGCGATAAACTATGAGAAAACATCAGTTTCATCAGGGACGATAGTGTCCCTAAACGCTATATCGGCGTCGCGTCGCGTCGTATCAGCCAGATCAGCCTAGCTCTAATAATACTTTACTTGACCGATAAATCGAATGGCATGTCGATGCTGGTGTTTCCGACGTTATCACGATTAGTGTGCGGCATGGCACGTGTGTTACCTTGGCTGTGGCAGGGTCCGGACACACGACGTGCTGATAATTGATGTTGGTGTAATCGACGCCAGAACAGATGGTCAGGCTTTTGTCTTCCAACTGCTCGCCATGCTTGCTGAGCAGTTTGTCGAAGAACTTGGGGTCCTGCTTGAAATGCGTCGCTTTTATTAGCTATTGGATGTTACCGTGTCTTTTTCTTTCTTTTCTTTTTTTTTTTATCAGTTTGATCGACAAGTACTTTTACAGCGAATTCGCGCAATTGTCGTAACTTTAACAAATCTGAGAGCGCTATTATCATAACCGCTTGAAGCGACAGAACATTGTTTATTTTACCTTAGGAACGCCTCCGGCTCTGATGTCGCTCACTTGACACAACTCAATAACATCTCCATCCTGCGAGGAGAAGAGAGAGAGAGTAAAAATAAATTGCGTGTACTTAGAACTCGTAGAATGCTAAGAGAGTGTCCGAGACCTACCTCGTTCTTTTTGATGTCGAAACGAATGAAAGGGCACAAACAAAAGAGCAAACAAAAAAAAATCCTCTCACCTTTCCCTCGCTCTGCCAATAGATGAAGAAACCATACTCGTCGACTTTGAACAGGCAATTCAGCTCGATTTCAGTGTTATCCTTCTCCTCCGTCCAACGATCGAAGACGCAGCCGGTACGGAGTGCTTCCGGCACCTCAATCTGCCAGTTGAACTCGAACCTCTTCGTCATCTCCGCGTCGTTCCACCAACTTCCGACAAAGTCAGCCTAGATACGGCGTCTCTTCCGATTCTGCCAACAAAGATCAGTATCGCGTTAAAGCCATCTTTTCTATACCGGTCACTGTCAAATCGAGTATCTGGTTTACGTCCGGGGCTTTGAAGTTCGACATTTTATACCTCGCATTCCTCGTATCCGTCCGTAAATTATTCCGATGAATTAAGATTGCACGGTATATCCGTGCGAGATACTTACCATTCGTATGCAGCAACGGTAAATCTCAGAGAGAGTTTATATTTTGCATGAATCTGTAAGTTTGATGTTTATTCAATGTGTGTACATCAGTTTACATGACGGAGGTACGAACTTCTATAAACGATAAATGCCTATATATAGTGCGAAGGCATGGTATATATAATACCGAATACGTAATTGAACCTTGAGAAATTACTGCCGTTAATTGTATAAGATGAGCTGATTGGCACAAAACACGCAGTAACGCTGATATTCAGGTGGACTTTGTCGCTAACACGCAACCTATCTTGTTAGAACTCTTGTTTGACCGGGTATTTAGTTATAGTTAATTATTAGCCCCGATCTGTATGGCCTCCGATAAGCAACATGTACGAACGTAATACCTCAATAGAGCGGACTGAGCCTTCTGGACCTTAATCGGGCATTAACCCCTTTAGAAAATAAAGTCTCAAGGTTTCTTGAACTTTAACCTATCGGCCTATAACACGCAAACAAACGCCAATATTAAAATCATTACAATTAATTAGAGACTGGCCTAGAGAAAACAGCATAGCATTTTCTCCAATTAATTATTAAAATCATTTTTAGGGATTCCATGAAAAAAAAAATTTTGCTAAATAACGGAGTCAACCAAATTTTAATTACATTTAATGCTCCACTGTATTATGTGAAAGTTATCTTTAAAGAATATTTATCTTGCTTCAAAATTTAATGAACATGCAGGAATATCCTATTTTATTATTAAAAAACAAAAAGTGCACCCATTGTTGCTTTTGTTATCTCGAGCAGATCATTGAGAATATCTTTTTTCCCCACAAGATTGCGCACAGCTTTGAACGTACTTCGGCGATCTCTTTTTTTCTGTCCTCAGAAAATAAATGTGAAAGTTTTTATTGTACAATGACGTTGAATAATTATTTAATCTCTTGGCGTCACATAATGTGTGCGTCAATACCTTAACTCTCACATATTTCACGCATATTCCTTCCTTTCTTTACACGGGTTTTCAGTTATTCTTATTTTTATTAGTTCTTCTTTTTCTTTCCGACGACATATAATAAAAAGCTTGAATGGAGCACATTCTCTTTCTTCTTCTTTTTTTTAGATATTTCTTATTCTTATTTTTGAGCCTGCGAGAGTTAAATTTGCCTACGGAAAATAGAGGATTGAAATTAGAATAGAATACGTTACAATGAAACTCTGAAAAGGTGCAGCACTTGCATAGAAAATGGAAAAAAGCTGACATTGAGAAAAGACGTCATCGCACACTTTGTTATACAGAAGCTATAGTTCGAAGGAAATGGCTTAAGTTCCTTTTTTTGCACACAACGTAGCGTTATGAAACTCTTTCTGATGATATAAATAAATATCTTTTGTGTATTATATGACGTGCAGTGTTCGCCATATAGTTGCATCATACAAGTTTTGAAAAATATGTTACACGAATATCGTTACTTAAAAGTTTGGCGATATAAGTGAATTTTCTTTTATCTGGCGTACAGTATATACAATATTTAAGATGTACATATTTTGAAATATATGTATATGTTTATTTAGAAGTATTTGTATTACAGAACGTTTCTTACTTGAATCATTCATTGGCTTTTGGATTTTGGATAATCGATACTTTGTCACGCTACAGAGAGCCTTTTAGCATCGTTGCACCGATTAACCTTTATGACAAACCTACACTATGTAGGACAAGGCACACTTAAATGTTGAATGCCGAGTGGAAAGAGTCATATCGAAAGTTTTGTCATATATTATTACAACATTATTATATGTATCATAAAATCGTGAAAGGTACTCACAATGTTAAGAGCGTCTCTTCCGAGTTAACTTGCTCATTTTAACTCGCGGCTGCACCTGCAACAAAATATTTTACTCTAATTAAACTCTAATGTAAATGTTAATAATTGAAAACTGCCTCTACAGAATATTCTCAACAATGCAAAATGTGTTTGTTTAAAAAATGGATGCTGCAGGGATCGATACAGCAAAATTATTATGCAACGAAAGATATATTTTCTTTATGCTTAAAGTCTCTTTCTCTCAGATGTCGAGCTTGAAAAATATCCAATTTAAAATCGCAGACCCCATTTATTTTTCGCAGTTATCCCCCCTTATATCACCCCATTCTATTAACCGGCGATGTTAATTATATCTACGGGCAGACACGTGCTTTTCTGAAATGAAGGTTTTACTCTTCGATTAAGTGACTCAATCGATATCTCTGTATAATTACGAGACTTACGTAACAGGTTACGTATGTATAATTCATTTAATTGATGTAAAGTATATAAAATCTAGATAATAACCTTTGCGTCATTAAGTCTATTCGTTTAATGGCGTATCCTAATTATAACTTAGATAATGTTTCTTATCACTATCTCTAACTAGAAGAAAAGCAATATTGATAACAGTCGCGAGAAAAAGCTGTATAGCTGTAACGTATCAAGTAAATTAATTGTGCAAAAGTTTTATTCCCAAAAGTTTTTTTTGTGTTTAAAAAATAACGAAATAAGTAAACACAAAACTACATGTGCAGAGTAAAGTTACAAAATGTTTTTGGGTCACGCTGCTGACAGAAGAGGTTCGGAAGATAATTGTAATTTAAAAATTTCTGAAAATACAGTCATAAAATGTGTTTCGTTGTAATTTCTTCAAATATTTTCTTAAAATATTTAATTAATTAAATTGGTTATCGACAAGATTACTTTACCATGAGATTATGAAATTGCTCTCTTCTATTAACTAGATTAAAAATACATCAAAGTAATTGCAAAGGGTAGTAAACAACAACCAGTGACGTATTACTCTCAAGATTTTTATTAATAGGTGACGCGGCATTTCGTTGTCTTTACGTAAAGGCCACTCCAGTACATCTCTCGACTGCAGCTTCAGTCATCTACGTAAAAGTTATCTTCGGAATAAATTAAAAATAAATCAACGAATTGTAGAATCTCATTTTTAATGTCAGAATCACTAAGAATAAGAATACTGAATTGCATGACAAAAAAATACATCTATTAATTATTTAAACACTTTTTAATAGTAGAAAACATAAATTATTATTAAAACGCAAAGTAGTTTTGTAGATTTTGAAAAATATACACAAATATTAATGTGTTATATAATTAAATTAAATATATTTCAAACATTTTCTTTATTTATACAGAAATAAATTTTGTTTGCTTTTACATTAATACTTTATTTAATTTGCTAGATCAATATACATACTTTACTGTGTAATTTAAAATTTAATATTTTTTCATAGTGTAACACTATGTTTACTAAAAATTTTATTGTAGATATTGGTATCAATATGTATATCGCTAACGGATATCCTAATCTCCATCGCGACTTATCTTAATTAGTGTATGAGGAAATGGAAGTTACCAGGCGCTATATTCTTATCTACGTACTACCGTATGCGAGAAGTGCATTTACGATTAAATATACATTTTTAAGCGCGACCGTAAAAATATTTGCGGCAAACCAACTCTTGCTCACATATAAAAAATAACAGACTTCCTCAAAAAGTTCTTGTAACCCAAATTTCACATTATCAGTTTGTCACAGTTTGTACAGAACTTACGACGATTTATATTGTTTATTTATATTTATTGTTCTCATATTTTCTATAACAACTATCATATTTGTTGCATTTTGCATATATTTTGCGAGAAAAAACATATTGAATATAAGAGAACTAAATTTAAATTATATTACACATTAAACCTGAAAATACATCTGTACTTTGAAGAATTTTGGCAACATATATGTATTTCTGTTGCAATAAATTTTCACTACGTTTCCGGAATCCAAAAACGAGGCATGTTCGCATTTTGATCTATTATTAGATATCGACCTATAATTTTCAATCCGCAAATCTAAAGATACTTCAACGATGAAGTTATCCTTGAGAGTTTCAGCGTAATATTATGATGTTGAAACTGTAGTAAGATCTTTAAGGCTTTTGAATTTCGATTGAAGTTTAAAATTGAAAATGATTCAAGTGCAAGAACATGTGTGGAAGAAGGCTATAAATGCTAGCTCAGCATATTGGCAATAACGTAGATATGGCAGCGAAACATAAAATTACAAGAGAGGGAGAGTAGAGAAGTAAACATTACATTAATAAATGAGATACTTGGAGATGAAGAAGTTTGTAGCGATGACTCGCATATTTTATCATCACAGTCAACCAGCGCAAAAAATTGTACAGCGCTGTATTTTGCAAAATATATTTCTTGTTATGATATACAAAGCTGCTGATGTAAAAAGATATTTAATAAATTAAAATAATTACTAAAATAATAAATGAGTAAAATAGTTAGATGATATTTAACAAATTAGAATAATTAAACTTATTATGGCAAACAAATAAGCTTTCTGTTTAGTATATAAAATCAGTTTTAATCAGTTTTAACAAGTTATGTACATATGTATATACCGATAATGGAAAACACTCAATTCTGTAGTCTCAAACACCTTGACCTATAACTTTTGTCGAAGAAAGATGGAGATACGAGAGAGAACTGCGAAACAAGTTTTCGGAAAGAATAAACGCAGAAATTTCAAAAGCAGATATTTCGAATCTCGCCAAACTTGCTACAACGGTGACCGCAACTTCCGAGAATTATAGCCACATCCTCCCGGATGTTTTCTACCCGCGGCAACGCTGTTTATTCAGTTGATTTCGCAGAAGATGAATTCGATTACTGATGCCATCGATTTGTCAAACGATCAGCTGACGTCGCAATTTCGTGTGTAACGCGTCGATCGTGGACGAAGTAACGGAATTACCATACAAAATATTGCAAAATATTGCGACGCAGGAGAGGAGGCGAGGCGGTACTTGCATTGGAAATACACGAAGTGGAAACGCTCGATGTGCGCCGAATGCAAGTGCGACTGCCGATGCCGTTAATATCATCTGTAATCGGCCACCGACGTCCCGACGTGTATCTCGTTAATATACGCGGGCGTTACAACGCGTGTCTATATGAACAGCGTGTGTATACGAGGCGCATAAACAGACGAGCGTTACGAAAATACGTACAAACGTGTGACTCGTGCCGCTGTTGCCTCCCGTTTCTCTTCGACAAACGATGGAAACGTTCTTAGAGCCCGGCAACCTGCGTATTCCCACGAGCTGACCGCATTAACGATGCGTTATAATTTATGACTACCATGCACGATCCCCATTGCACTCCGCATCGCGATCTCGTTAACGCAGCATTAATACCACCAAGATGGCGGGTGAAAGTAAGACTGAAGATAAGAAATCGGTTTGATTAAGATAGCCCGCTATTGTTTTAATTAATCATCGATAACGGTTGATACAATAATTGCCAAACACGTCATTGTCTTATAATATTTAATTTAAAGATTCACAAAATAATGTCTGTAAAATGAACGATAAATTTATTATAAATTAATTAACTAAATAAATATAATATTAATTGTAAAATAATGTAGCGTTCTTATTTCAGTCTAAAAATATTGATTTTATTTGTAGAGCTATTTTCGTTTACACATAAATAGTTTAGCGCAGCGTGGTTTGTAAATAGTTTAGCTTTTAAATAGAAATGATTTATTTAGCACTGCGATAAAAAAATTATGTACACATACATAATTTCGTGATAAAAAACAAAAATTTATGTTGGTTTATAATGTCTTACGACAAGATATATAAATACTGACTCCATCTCGTATATCTAATCCTTTTCATCTTCACATACACATCTAATTTCTTACAAAATTTATTTACATCATCGTGTATCAATCGTTCTTTGCATATCAAACATGATTTTGACGCGTGTGCCCTACATATGATCTAGTATACTCTATATATGTTTTTGCACACGTTCGTAACTTTCGCCGCATCCGTAAGCACAGGAAATTTTCAACAAAATATAGCGCTTCGTTATCCATAATTACAGAATATTTAACACAAAAGCTCTGGCTTCCAGAAATTTAATGCAATTATGAACGCAAATTTGCAAAAATGTTAATAACTCTTTCTCACGCTTGCATAAGTAATTTATTTATAAATTTATCTTTTACACATTATTTAGTATGTTTTGACCTTTTTAACGTAGAGAAATTTTTTTGTTATACGTAATGCAAATAATTTTTATGTAGATAAATCTTTTTATCATACGTAATGTAAATAATGTTTATCGGCTACAATTTCTGTCATAAAATCATCGTACCCATAACAGTATTATTTGGTAATTATAATATTAATTTTTAATTTATTTTTCTGTATTATAACAGAGTTATTTATGCAACTAATTCTTTTATTAGTGACAAGAAATATTTTATAATTATTTTTATTGATTACGGGTGAAGTTGTTTAATCGTCAAATAAAATCGAGTTTAATTTAATTAATATAATGAGTCTAATTAATTGAAAATTTTAAATAATTTACAGAATTAATATCAAAATGCGTCTGCACGAAATTATTAATGAAGCGCGAAAAGTATTAGAGCGAAACCATCCAAGCCAAGATTTACATAATTAGCGAAAAAACATGGTAATATTGAATATTGTCTTTTGCGGAAAATTAATTGCTAAACGACCGTGATTCAATTACCTAATATGGATTAATAATTATATAATTTCCGGAGCTTTGGAGGTTGAATTATACGATCGCGACATTGACCGCTCAATCACTTAATGGCCACTTTAAGAAGAATAGAAACAAATGAGGCTTATGACCTGACTGCCTCTGTTTTTGAGACACGCAACTCTGTATGCATTGCATATATGTTAAGCTTTGTATACGTCTATCAGTGAACTATGAAATTTAATACTTAATAAGATTAGTACGTACAGATTAGTAATACGACATTAGTACGTAATATTAAGTCGAGATTAGATATATTTGCTAATATTTATTCAAGGAAAGAAAGAGAAAAAAATAAGTAAAATTTATCATACTTTCAAGTTGTAATCTTTTAAAATTTAGATAACAAGTATATAATTAAAAAATATTAAAGAAAGGGAATATTAAGAAAAAGGAACAATTTTTTATTTTATAAAAAATATCCGAGATATGTAAGAAATTAAAAAAAAATTGTAGGGAGAGAAGAAAGAAAGAATAAAAATTAAAAATTAAGAAGCAGCAGCATCTTATATTTATCGCAAAAGTTATTTGGTATGTTATTTAGAAAGAGAGAAAAAAAGTTACATATTACTTAATTATTCACGCGCTTCTCATAACAATCTCACGTGGCTTTGTTATTAGCTGCAGTTTTTATAAGTTGTGTTATGTCTTTCATCGTTATCCGTACAATTTCAAGTATACAACAGATATAGCTCCCGATGAAAAATGCGTTATGCAATATGTTTACGGTCGTAATTCATTCGCTTCTCGTGTTTGCATTCTGTGCGGTTAACGCAAAAGAAACCGATGACTCGCTATATCCGTATTATATCGTTAAAATTTACGAGCGCACTTCTCTCTTATACGATGCAGAACTTGCCGGAAGATCACAAATATTTCAAGACACAAATTCGAGCTTCCAAAAATATTTGCAATCGTAGGTACGATATACACACACGGATGTCTTGTGCAATTACGTGAACCAACAAGCCCGCATTTTATCCGAAGATAAAACTTGCTTCGCAATGAGTTTCTCGTGAGATCACCGTTCAATTGAACAATTGCGTAATTAAAGTTTCCTCCGAGCTGTTATTGCGTTTTTGTGGCAGTTCTCATTCCGAGAAACGTGCTGCGTTTTTGTCGCTGCGCACAAAGGAATCAGGAGATAATAATGACTTTTGAGATTAATTTTCTTAAAGATAGAAAACATCTTCCGATATGATTACTCCAATTATTAAGCTTCAAGAAGAAACTCTGACTCTTCGTGTATCCTCAACACACTGCGTACACATGTATAACGATTGAGAAAGCCACGATTAAATAAGGAAATACATACAGCGTTCCATAATTGATATCTGGCGAATTGTTTTGTACGGGATAGATACGTACTTATATTATTAAAAGAAGCTGAGCGTCTTGTTGGAACGTCTGTTGCTCCGTTTTTGCTCAAGTATACGTGCCAGTGAGATTGGCGCCTATTTGAGGCATGCACTATAGCGACATGCACTGTAGTGCCATTTGATTTCCTCGGCAATCGCGCCGAGATAACGAGAAGCTTCGCGAGGTGTAAATGGTATTCGCGACACGTCCCGCCTCGACGAATACGGCGAACCGACGAATGGCCGGTTGATGACGGATAAGAAATCCGAGGAATTAGGTGTCGGACCGACGCGACGCGACGGCCGACCTGGTCTGACCTCGCGACGGGAATTTCGTAACATTCGCGCACCGCACGACGGCGGCGGCGCCTCTGGGTTCCCTTGACCTCGAAAATCCCTCGGGAAGCCCGTGCAGTCAGGGTCGTGTCCCGATATTCACCGCGGCCTCTATTCTCGCGCGCACACATATCTCTCGCGCCTTATTCGCGGCTTATCTCCCGCGGCGATAACGCGGCGCTGCTAATTAGCGCGAGTCGTCGTCGCTCCTCCGCTCTCTTATTCCTCGCGCGCGCGTGTATGCGTGCGGCCGGATGGTGCGCAACGCGTGTACGTTGTACGCGCGTGGTAGCACGTATGGGCGGCACGCACACGCGAAGCGACGCACGGCCGTCGCGCGTCGGAGTTAGCGAGAGAAGGTGCGGAAAAGTATAATGAGAAAAGGAGAAAGACAGAGAGACAGCGAGAGAGCGAGCGAGTACCGCGTGGCGCTGGCGCGAGTGCGAGTACGCACGTATACGGCGCGTCTGATTAATGGTTGCTGAACGAGATTGACCCATTCTTTTATTAAACAATATATGTCTCTCGGGAATCGCTTTAATAATTGGTGGTATCATAGTTACACGGTAAAACACTTTAATTTATCATAACCGGAGAAAGTGGATTGCAACTATAATTAACGCTCGCGTCCTCCGCGCCTTCGCGTAATTTGGTATGAGTAATTAGCGGTTAATAGTAATGCGCAAGTAGGAAGCGATAATGCATTTGGTACATCGCAGTCCGGCTCAATCTTGATGGTACGCCCTTTATATGCAAATTAATTACACGCGCGGAGCGCTAGAGCAAAGGCACCGCTCAACTCAGAGCGCTCGCCGATCTAATGGATAGAAATATTAACTCCGTACTCTTAATAAATACATTTAACCCTGAAAGTAAAAGCCTCGGTGCTTCCTATATTCACCTATAATTCAAGTAAAAATAATTAGAAACCAAACATTAGCAGATTACGTTTAGCAAAGATTGAAGGGAGCCTAAAGTTGGTAAAATCGTATTATGCAATTGTGGTCAGACTTTACGCGGAAACGCGCGTGAATCTGCGTGAACGCGGAGCGGACCGGAAGCGAATGTCACTCGCTGATAGGCGAAAAATACGGAAGCGGAGTTTATCCAACCGGTGCGCGGCGTGTGTACGTGTGCGCGCGTGCAAGAGCGCGGCACGCGTGACACGTCTCATGACCGCGCAGAGTGGCGGCGGAACGCACGACGTCGGCTCTGTAACGCGCGCGCGTGTGGGCGCGCACGGTCGTCTCGTTACGTCCGTCACGAAGAATTTCGCGATGCGAATTTCTCAGTCTTACCGCTCTGGATCGGATTCCCCGCCCGCGCGTGATTATCCGTCGAACAACGAGAGCGGCAGCGACGACGGCGGCGGCGGCAGCGGCGGCAGCGGCGGCGTTCTCATCCTCCGGCGTAGCTCCGCGCGCACATCAGCTTCGCGGGCGGCACACCGCGAGCGGCGAAAATTTCAAAGTGGGAAAACCGAGAGTTTAGCGGCCGAAGACGGCGTCTGGGTGCGCGTGAAATTGGCGCTCCGGCGCCGGACGTCCTCCAAGCGCGATGGAAGAAGAAACTGACGCTGCCGCACCGTTTCTGTTAACGGGCGAACCAGCCGTCCTGGCTCGATACCGTCTTTTTCCCCTGCGCGCATGTGCGCGCTCGTGACCGTCATTCAGTTTCCACCGCATCTCGTCGGCAAGAACGAGATCTGCTGCCTCCGAGGCTATTGCATCACAAGCGTGGGGAACGGTGTATATATCTCGTCGGAAGTAGCGCTCGGAATATTCCGGCGATCGAACGGGCTCGAGCGCGTCGAAGACTTTCGGCTCTTCGGGAGGCTGCAGATTAGATGTGCGATTAGATATACCGCCAACAATACAAATTTCAAGAGTCCAAACTTGAAATTCAAATAGCTAGATGAAGATAAATATATGAAGATAATATAGTGCATGAAAAGGGAATAAATAAAAGTTGATTATTTCTATTTGCAATAGATATATGACTCTCATGTAATTATAACTTCTTCAAAATCTCAACTATTCAATTGTTTAAACTATTTGTATCCGGAAAAATTTTCACGATCATTAACTTCATTAAAACTTCATTAAGAATCTCAGACATTTCTTCTTTTTGAACTATTCGAACTCATTTACTTAACACACACTTTTAATGCACGGTTCTGAAATTTAAACGGTTTTAGTTTTATTTTTAATCAAAATGGGAAATTGTTTTACATATTTGCATTTATTATGCATGCCAAGCAAACATCGATATTTTACTTTTTATTGCGTAAACGGAAATTCTCGGGTGCAGTATGCAGATAAGTGCATTTCTCGGTAGATAATTTTTATCTTTTCACCGTTACCAAATATTAGCCACGTTTATTTATTTATATAAATATGTCGATAAAATATTTACTTCTAGAGCTTATCATAACATTCAAAGGTGAAATATGATAATTTTTGTTTGTATTCTAATTTATTACCTCAATCCAGAAATGCCGAATAAATCATGACTGCATGCAACAGAGAAGAAAGTTAATTTTGTAATAAGTAATATCAACATTAATTACAAATAATATTATTATTTATCAGACTTCCCAAAGTACGTAGAAGGAAAAGATTAATTACTTTTCTCTAATTACCGAAGGAAATTATTTACCAGAGGTGCGAAGTTTAAATGAAAAATGTTTAATTTAAACTTCGACGCGCATCTCACAAAACTATCGCGATTGCTAACGTATCGCGTTCCGATTTATATCACACAGTCGATTTAATCAGTGAAAGCCGCTATAAACTTTTATTTACTTCGCAAACACGCGCATGATGGAAACGGCACGGAATGAAGTTCGATGTTATAAGATAGATCGGTAGAAAAAACGCGGTGATCAGAGGACAAATAAACGTGAGTATCGGATATAGATAATTATTGACATTAACTTTCTGATAAGCCAATTTCGACATGTGTCCGGTTCGACAGATATAAGTGTAGACGAAAATATAAGGGGAGGTGCGCGCTTCACAGCGGGCACATCTCAATCGCAGATTCCAATAGAATGAACTCGTGAGTCATCAGATAGAAATATCTCACTTTGCACGCAGACGAATCGTGCGTAAATAAACAAGCCTATCTTAAAGCCGCACTAACAATGAAAATAACAGTGATAATTATACATAACAGAGAGTTACATAAAATGAAATCGATTTTCAGAGGAGCGCGAAATCGAAAGTGCGGCAGGATGTTTTCTTACCGAGCTTTTCAGCGAAAAATCATTAATGAAGCGCGATTATGCATTTTTGCCATCTGCTTTAAGATTGACCGCCGTGCTGTTGATTACATTTTACACCTGTCTCGTTTATCAGCGGATAGAGAGAAAGTTGGAAACAAAATGTATGACTGATAAATCAAGAATAAGACAAGTTTTTTAACTATATTATTTGCTAGAATTCTTTTAATCTTTTATTACGTAGTGAAGCACAATATAAGTTGTTATATAATAAATAAAATCGACAATCAACACATACACATTGAAAAAGGGCCGAATGAAGATCGAAATTATTATATAATTATAATATAATTTATGTGAGACTATATATGTATGTATATAAGCTTGTATAATTATATCTAATATTTTATGTATTATTGGAATAGTTCTCTCTATAATGTGGAAGTTATACATAATAGAAATAGTTCTAAATTGCTTCTAATTTATTAACAATTTGTACAATATTGCGGTATAGTTACAATTAATTACAGCATATAGCAATTATATGTAATTTTTAAATAATGATCATAAATAAGTTCTGTATGTATAATAGCTGATATAAAAAAAGCTCAAATAGGAAATAAAAAAAAAATTAGAATTTACATTTTGATATATGCATATCATATTTTTCTTTTTGATCTCTCTTTTGATCAAAATAGTAAACTAAAAGACGTTTAATAAAATCTCTCGAGAGAAGATAATATTTAGGTATTATCTATATTGCTCATATAAACTGCTGAATGGAGAGAAATAACATATCCACGCTCTCTGTGAGACTCTCTGTGAAAGTTGATAGATACATTAGGTCGGTAACATAGCGTTCAAGTTTATAAAACTTGCACTCAATAAATCTTTAATTTATGCAAATAGATGTGTATATTTGAGAGAACATTTGCTAAACTTACAAAATTATAAATAATAAACAATAAGTTTTTTATACATATAATTAGAAGTATAATCTTAGTCTATATTATATTTGTATTATATTCTTAAATTATATATAGTTAATATATGATTAGAAACAAATTATTAAAAAAAAGAATATATATATATATACAATTAACAAAATGCAATTGTATTCTTTCATTTAAATGTAATTATATATTTTTCATACCAATAATTTACCTCACAATTTTGTGAATAAATGTATTAAGTAAAGTTATCAAATATTTTATTTATTTTTTATGTCAAAATATGTATATACATATATCTTGTAAATCATTTAATTTTTATTTTATTGCAATACCATTTTATATTCAGGATGATTAGAGAAAACAATTTACGAGAAAAAATTATATTTTCATTTAAAAAATATGGATATTAAAAAAGCAAATATTATAAAACAATTGTTGCTTTTATTACAATTGTTTCTTTCACTTAAAGTTGGAAGATTTTTATTGAAAACACTTCTCAGAAAAATCGTTTATATAATTATCATCTTAACACTTTTTTCGTACATTTTGTTTTAAAGTTAATTTTAGCTTTGTAAAACTGAGGAATTATGTTTAAAATTTTTGTATATCACACTTGTTATTGCATTCTTATCATTATTATTGTTTTTTTTTCTATACGATCGAGTTTTATTTCATATTCTCGTTATTACTCATTCATCAGATTCGGAAGTTACGATCGATTTCTTTATTGTAAGCATTCGCTGGTATCCCATATAAATAACAATGTCATAAAATTTCAAATTTCCAGATAACAAACAAACGTTATTTGTTATTATTTTGACATCAAAATGACGACAAATAACGTCAGTTTGTTATCTGAGCTATTTCAACGTATTCTCTCCGGATTACAAATCGTGAAAGTATTTACTATGGCAATATATGTATTTCTAAGGCGCATATTTTATATTAGTATATTCCGAGTTATCGCACACTGTATGATTGTGTATGCGTCATGCTTCATCAAACAGTTTATCATACACGTCTCAATAAGACTTCCCTGAATACGATTTAATACAGGAACGATAATTTACTTTCAATTCAAACACAATCCACAAATATCATATTTCTATCTTTTGAATACACAATTGAAATATGTCTTTTTATAAATACTTTTACTTTTACCAATATTGACAAGTTCTACGCAAGAAACTGAATTTTATGCAAGATAAGATTTATAGAACAATATCCATAAACATTTGGCGGCTGATTTAGAAAAAATTGTAAATGCAGCACAATTGAAATTTATAATTTTGATACATACATAATTACTGAATTATTTACGACTTATAAATAAGTTTATACTTGAGTTATAAAACATTATATTATTGTAAGATTTATCTTGGGAACCCTAAAATGGACATTCCTCTTTCATTTTAAGTACACCTATCAAAATTTGACATGCTGGTTAATTTGTTCTCTGAATATAATATGGGTAGAAATTTTAAATGTTAAGCAACAGATAAATATTATATATTCAAAATGTTGGAACAATTATTATCTCCATGAATTGCAAATTGTTGTAATTGGTTTATTATTAATTACACGAAATATAATAATTTATAATTATGCGAAAAATTTATAGGGTATGAGAATAATTGCAATATGATATTTGATAGTTTATAATAAATTTATAATAGATTATGTTTAAAATTGGACGATTGGAATTACTTCTTGGCTTTTCAATTGTATTATAGATAAAATAATAGATAATGTATGAGCGTATAATTTATATTATTTTTATGATGTATACATTTCTATTATAAATCTTACAATTTTTGCACGTATTAATCATATCTTACATACCTTTGATAATGTAGATATTTAAAAATTTCCATCACTTGGTTCTAACATGTCAATCTTTATTTGCACAATTTCTGTAAGAATTTACATTACCTACTGTTTAAGATAACTTTCGTTATACTGCGATGTAAATGAAATTTCGTTTGAAAAGTCATGCGTTAATGGATGAAATTTAAATTTGAATATCAACGTCGAAAACACGCCTGGTCGTTGAATCGCATTGTGGTCGAACGCCTGTGTATTTTTGAACGGGCCTTTTATACGGTTCGAAAGGGAGATTTTGTTCGTGATCCGTGTACCTTACATGCTAAATCGTTCAAGATTCAAACGTCATAAATGTAAAGAATACCTCGTACTACGGAATCTATTCGCACAGTAAAGAACACAGGTGTATTCATTTTCCCACCGAGCTCTGAGAGAAACGCAGGCATGCAGCTACCATTATTACATTCCGCATCTAAGCAGAATTGGTGCTAGCAACTAACAAATTAATATTACCGAGATCCTATGTGGATGAGTATGTGTATATGTGTGTGTCCGTAAACAAACGCTTCTTTTCTTATCGCATTCTTGATTGCTTTGAAGCTATACACGTTTTGTGCATCGCGTTGCGAATAATCCGCTATAAAACTTTACTATATCATTTGATGAAATTGCTCGAACATATTCAGTCTCAAAAGCATAACTTTTTATTTGAATAAAAACACATAATCATTAATAAATAATATAATCAGGGAAGAAAGAAAAATATTATTAAACTTTGCGTAAAGATTACACAAATTCTCGTTACATCTGGACTGTACTCTTCTCGAAAGAGGTAATTTAAGAAGCACGCTATTCGCACAGTTGCCTAATTGGTCGGAATCTCACTGAAGGATAAT